AAAGGCTGAAGAATGGCTGGGAAGAAATGGAGGAGGATACCTGCGTGCCACATGCGATCATGTCGAGAGCGAACTTTGGCTTCTATCCGCGCTCATGGGGGATATTTTCAAATGCGGCTGTAGCATGTTGCAGCACATAGTGTTGGCTAATCATAGAGATTCCATAGTCTTTCGCAGCTGAGAAGTTTGAAATATATTGCTATAAATCAGCGCCAATAATTTTGGGACACCCTGTACAATACAGTCGCGGTCAAAAGTTTTTGAACTTTCTATTTTTCAGTATAGCGTGGGTACTGATTTACTTAGCTGTCTCAATTTTGCATAGTAGGTATAGAAGCAAATAAAGAACATGATAAGCAACGTGTTTTTTCGCGTACAGATGATTAGAGTCAAAGAACACGATTTATTGTGAAAAGGGCGTGTCAAAGGTTTAAAAAATTCACAATAAGAGGGGAAATTGATCATTGTAACATGACATTCCCAACAGGAACCTGGCTTGTACGACGTGCTAGTTCTTCCCAAAAATGCTCTATAGGATTCAGCTCTGGGCTCTGACTCGGCCACTCCATAACGTTGATTTCCTTTTACTGGAGGAGGTCGGTCACGAGACGGGAAGTATGCCTCGAGTCATTATCGTGCTGAAAAATCCACCGTGTCGGCAGGTTTTGGTTTGCGAATGGGAGCATTACATTCTCTAAGATGTCCTTGTACTGAGCCGAGTTCTTACCCTGCAAATGAAGAGTGGATCAAGATAGATTGAAATTTCCCCATAGCATAACGCTCCCTCCATCGTGTTTGACCGTCGGGATTTGGTACTTCGGATCACATCGCTTATTCACGGGACGTCTTATATACATTATGCCATCACTCCCGAAAAGACAAAACTTTGACTCGTCGCTGAACAAAACTTTTTTCCAGTCATCTCTATTCCAGGCGAGGTGCTTGCGGGCAGAGTAAAATTGGGCCTTCCGGTTCTTTGCGGTGACCAGTGGTTTTTTGCTAGGACGTCTTTAAAAGAGTCCCCCGTCTCTGAACCGACGTTGGACAGTGCTTTGGCTGATACAAATCCTAGAAAAAGATGCTACTCGTTTACGAATATCCGAAGCTGTCGCCCGCGGATCGCCCATCGAAGTCCTAGGAATGGGTCGACTCTTGTTGTTGTATTTTGTGGTCTTCGGNGCGAGACTTCCTCATCACAAATTCTCGGCTTCGATAACGCATGAAAACCTTGGCAATTGTGATTTTAGCGAGTTTGTATTGTTGGGAAAGCACGCTCATCTTCGTTCCGGAATCAATGGCTTCAACAATTGTTTCGTGGACGGACACTTAAACTTCTTTACCTGGTCCCATCTGAAAACCGCCCAGTATACCATGCTTCGATTAGACATTACGAAAAATCCACCAACCTGGACAAGAAGAAGCCAAAACGATATGGCAGGTAGCGATTTTCCAAACTCCAAACTTTTGACGCGCTGTTCTTCAAATTTTTCTTGTTTTAGAAATCAGACTTCTGATTTTCGCAAAACCACATTGCATGCCATAATTTCCACATGATTTTATATCTAATATGTAACTTTGGGATAATTACGATCTCAACTGGCCGCGCTATTCGAGAAATTAAAAATTTCAGACTTTGACCACTACAGTATGAGCCATCTCGGGAATTTCTTTGAATCAAACTATTCGATTTCTGCCTCTTTGCTGTTGTAGGCAAAACCAATTAAGATGGGATCTAATATTAGTCTCCAGCCTCCGTCATGCCCTTTTCAGTCACCACACAATGAGCATCATTCCCGTGGGTCTCCCGTGAATAGTAATTACTAATGGCGATTGTCTCAATTCCAACTAACTATTAGGATGGTGATTGTAGTCTGACACTTGTCCCCGAAATCAGATTTATTAATGCTTTTTTCATTCATTCTGATAATGTCGTCGAAGCCAGACGGTCCTTTCCGGACAGCAGTGTACAGCATTTCTGCGTTTTCGTTATTGAGCCATTCGGTACTTCTCTACGTATATCTTCGATGTCCCTTGAGAAGGATGAAGTTCTACAAGTACTTTTTCCTTTTAACCATCCTACAAGATGTCATCTATACCGTCGCATTTGCTGTAAATATGCCGGTGAGCAGTTTGATACTTAACATTTTATACTTACAAGGAAGGTCTTCCAGGGCGTGGGACGCTTTTTGAAAATGGTTTTTTGCTTGTGTAGGGACATAAGCACTGAGTACAGAACTATGGTCTATTTCCGCTAAATGACCTTCTGAATGCCAAAAAAGGAGTGAAAATGATTTTGTCAGAAATTGCCGTTTTAACCCACTAAGGGTCGCTTGTTTCATTCATGGCGTCGACTGTACGCACAGTAGAAGGCGCCAGTGGACTGCGCATTGAAAATAATGTGCGGCAGCCAAAAAGTGGAGCCACATGTTGAAACTGATTATGGTGCACTTTCACATTACTTATCTTGCATAGATTGGTGGGCGGCTTTCGAAGGCTATCAGTCTGTTGACGACTTGTATAGAAGATTTTGTCGTACTCTTTACACTGCTTTCACCCAATTTGTACCTCTTGAATCCTCGAAAGATTCGAAAACACGCTATCCAAAACACATAGTCAATTTGATGACTCAAAAAGCTCGTCTATTTCACACTCTACAGGAGGACCCTCTTTCAACTCTCGTTTATAACAGAGTGTGCAATGAGCTTGATTACCATCTGAAAAGATTCCTTGCCTACAGAGAAAAACGAGCCACAACCAGTGCGAACAAGAAAGCAGCCTTCGCTCTTATGAAAAGTAAATTGAAAACGCGGCCGTCAACACCGGTTCTCAGAGATAGTGCTGGTAATCTGTGCATTACTGATGTTCAGAAAGCTGCAGCGCCTGCAAGTTTCTTTGCGTCAGTTTTTACAACGCCTACAGCCATTTTGGGTGAAAACGCAGGGGATGACCTTCTTCTGGTAGATTTCTGCTCCGATATCACCATAGCTTCCAGGGAAGTATACAGAGTTCTATAGTCGCTCAAAAGTTCCTTTTCATTGTCGTAAGATGGCTTCCCGCAGATAGTATATAAAAGATGCGCCTACGTCTTGTGTAAACCCATTTGTATGATATTGAATACCTCTTTAATGTTCGGAGAAGTCCAGGAGATCTGGAAAGAATCTATCATCACATCTATTCCTAAGACTCCAAATGCGAACGTGGTCTCCTCTTTCCGCCCTATCAGTATTACTTCACCTGCAGCTGAGGCTTTGGGAAAACTGGCACGTGATAAACTTGCAATTCACTTTCGCAAAAACATGTTAGTACCTTTGGAACAACATGGATTTGTGGAAGATGCTTCTACAAGTACGCTGATGGCTGATTGCTGGTTCGACTGGAGCTTGGCTGTTAACAGAAGCCAAGGTGTAAATATAATATATTTTGATTTATCAAAGACTTCCGATAGAGTTAACATCAGTAAGCTTCTCACAAAAATAAGGCAAGTTGGTGTCTCCGGAACAATGTTCAATTGGATTCAGTCATACTTAAGTAACAGACATATGTGTGTTAAGGTCGGTAACTCTTTCTCAGAACGTCTTTTGTGTACAAGTGGTGTTCCTCAGGGTGGGGTACTGTCACCTCTACTGTTCCTGGCATACACGTATGATTTACCAAAATATCTAATTACACACCCCATGGTTAACGTGCGTATCTACGCAGATGATATCAAAGTGTATGGTATATATGAC